ATGAACTTTCTTGTTTTCTATTCGGATTCTTGGAGAAAGCGGTGGATGTTTGAGCGGTTAACATGTGGGAAATTGAGGCTTTTTTTTCGCGAGAGAGAGAGAGAGAGAGAGAGAGAGAGAGAGAGAGAGAGAGAGAAAGAGATGAAAAAACCGATTTGTACCTTCCTTAAAAGTTGTCCTAGCTCGCTTCTCTAATATCTATATACAATCTTCACACTGCCGTACTCTAACGGAACTATCAACTCTATGCTTTCATCTACTCCATCTATCGTATAAAAATTATCACTACAGTCTGTTATTTGAAATTAGCATCTTCAACTATGTAAATCGTTGACTTCACGTAGAAGTAATACTAAAAACATATAGTCAAAGAACAATATTCTATTATTAAGTCAACAATAGTTAATTTTAATTTAGCATTTATTTGCTGTGTCCATTCTCTGGGCCATGAAAGCAAAAATAACTACCAACCATTCCCTCGTTTTCACCCGGACAAAAATGTTAACAATAACAATACTTCCGCGTTCCACGTAAGTATTGTTTTTAATTGTGAATTTCGGGAAATAAGTGCAAGATTTTCGAAAATCTTGAGACTTGAGGTAAGTAAGTATGCTGCAATTCGAGCAGTTGATAAATATAATCAATTTTTCTGTTTTTTTTTCCTTTATTTTTTTCCGTCGATCTTGTTTTCCGTACTGAGTACCAATACTCCCGACGCCAGGAAGGCAGCTCCCACATCTGGACCCTACACGGTTAGAAAAAAGTACCCAACATTAAGTTCTTTTCACTCATCTCGGCACTATAGTGCAGGAACCCAAAAGTAGGTAAAGCGGGTCAAAGTAATTTTCATTTACTTGTTTGCATTTCATATGGAATTTTCCACTGGCTTTTTAACCAAAAGTAAGTTAGTTGTACCCAACAGTAGGTAAATATGATTATACTCAACGTTGGGTTCCCACACTTTACTACCCGTGTTGGGTAGTTTTGCTCCTCCGTTTTTGACAACATTAGAAGGAGAAAAGGAGACAAACTAGTCAAAAGTAGGTAAAAGTGAACTTTCCGTTGGGTACTTTTTTCTTACCGTGTACATATCGACCCATCAACTCATGAACCGGGGGCTTTTATTTTATGTCTCAGAAATTCAATTACAATTTCTGCAATTTTGTTTCAAAAAGAAAACGAAACATTAAAAAAATTGCCATATTATTTTTACATCAATAAACATATTTTTATTTCTACTGCGTGAATTGTCAGACTTTATAAAATAAATATGATTGAATCAACAAGAAATCTCTTTTAAAAACAAACATATTTTTGTTGTTGACCCAGCTGCCAAATTTGACAGCTTACGTCAAAACCATGAAAGCTCTTGTAAATTCTAAAAGATTTTCTTTTTGATTTAACAATCCATGGGTTTTAAGAAACAAAAATACTGGATTGTTGAAACAATAATGATTTCTTTTTGCAGCCAAAACAAAATGAAATTCTTATTGATTTTACGTCAAATATTATTACTTTTAAAATATTTTTTTCTGCGTGTTCCAAAGTCCTTCTCTCACTAACAGAAACTCGGGCCTTTTTACTCGCCTTTTTACGGGTGTCACTACACGGTAATAACAACAATCAATCACCACTTTAGTAGCCTATTGGTCCCAAGCAAACGATTAACGTACACTATTCTAGTTGAAATTCTATTACTACACTATGTTTGTTTTGATTCGCTATGAAAGTTTGACAGATAACATCAGGGGTGTGTGGATTCATGCAGAACATGCAGGGGTGAGTGAAATAGCTTGGGACTGCTTGGGACCGTTGTTCTGGTACTGAGTGAGCCAAAAATAATAATGATTTTCTTCGGGACCCAGTGGTCTTAGAGTTACCTCTATGGTAATAAGGAAGTGATACTAGGAATATGAGCCGTGATTGCCGTACAAATCAAATGGGAATCACTTCACCGTGACGACAAGTGACAAGTTTTCACCGTGAAGTGACATCCGTAATAATCCCCCTCGACTTGCAATTTCCTCGAATCATAACTATCGTTCGTAAGCTTCGCGATTCCCGTTCGCTCCATTTTATTGAATCAAATGTTCGAACAAATTCAATACAAATAACTCCAACTTTTGTTTTTTATCGACTTGATGAAACGTGTTAACTTTTCTCACAAAACAAAATGGCTAACTCCCTGGGCCCATAACCTGCTAGCCGTCAGAGAGTTTTCAAAGGTTTATTTTTAGGCCGAAAAAAGACAACCCATGGTCCTTTCGAAGACGGTTGATAGTATCTAGTTCGCGCAACGTAGGTATCCGAAGACGCCATAAGTGTTGCGCAAAATCGGTACACAACCGCTTGAACAGGAAAAAAAAAAATTAAAAAAAAACCTTCGCCAATTAATCTACTTAACTACTAGGGGAATTTACGTATTCTCGGCAACCTAAGCAGCGACCTTCTTTCTATAGTCTTTTTCTCTAAGGAACGCACACATATGCAGTATTGGTTTGTTTACAATCTTTTGCTGCCAGCTGCTCTAACAATTTCAGTCGAAAGAATTGTCAAAAATAGTTTTGAAACGCTTTTACAAAGCTCTAATCTTCTCTAGTGAGAGCGAGTATTGTCGACAACCAGTTTTTCTTCGGCAATATGCATGTAAATCTGCTGTTCTATTATCGGCAACTCGAAATCAGCTACAATTTGTAGTGCGTGTGTTGCATTTCAAGAAAACCTTGCTAGATTGCTTTTCCTCAGTGGTAAAAATATAGTCAAATTGAAGCTGCAAGCATAAAGAATCGTTTGCATGCATTCAGCGAAGTGTTTTCGTAAGAAAATCCAGTGAAAATAGTGTTTCAATTTGGGTTGCCGAAAATAGTCAGTCATGCCGAAGCCGTCATTTCCCCTAGTTGTTAATATTTTGTTGCCCAGTGTATGAACGACCAAACAAAACAAAAAAAAAATATTTAAAAAAAAACTTTTTTTTAGTTGCAAGAAGTTGCACCACTATAGCCCTCATAACCCTATCAGGGGCGAGGGCAAAGCCACGCGCAAAATTGAATAACAAAAGCGCGGCAATGGGCTAGAGAAGACTATTGTATACCTAACACCGGCCGGTGCCGGCTGTGTGAGCTGGTGCAGCCACTCCGTTTGCTCCTTTGTATTTGTTGCTTGCTGCTTTGGAGTGGTGATGAGATGATGACGGTGAGATGATAGTCCACCTATAGCGTCGCTAAAGGTGGCTACTTCCTCTGCTGACTGCGGTTGCCTTGGGCACTGAGCTTCGTCCACGGTAGGAAAAACGCGCCGGCTACGAAACCAATACCCGCAACGGAGACACGAACAAACTACGTCCGGCTACCCGCATAAACGGGAACCATAAATTGACCTTACCAAAAATGGTTAAAAATTGTTTATAATCCCTGCTAAACTTCAACTGAAATGGTTATGGAACTTTACAAGAACGTTTAATGATAAAGTTTTAACCTTATGTATTATGGTTTTTAGGAAGCGGACCTCACAAATAATGGGTTGTTAAGAACCATTACCATTCAAAATTCTTGTTTTCTCCATACATTTTCGAAAAGAGAGCTATATATTAGAACGTTTTCAGTAATTTACAGGCAACCAATTCGCGATATATTCCACATAAAGTTGATCGATGTTACAAAACTATTCATGGACCTTACAGACTACCATAACCATAACCATTAATGTTCTCAAACCATAAGTTAAAAGGTTCTAATATAGTCCTCCTCCCGAAAATATATGGAGAAAACAAGAATTTTGGAATGGTAATGGTTCTTAACTCATTATTTGTAAGGTCCGCTTCCAAAAAACCATAATACATAAGGTTAAAACTTTATCATTAAACGTTCTTTCAAAGTTCTGAAAATGATTTTGAAGTTGCCTTCCTGGTACAGTACTACCGAAGTACATAGAATTTCGAATGTTGAGGTTTTAGAACAAATGTCCAACAAAATAATTAATAATTTCAGGCAAAAATCGTTGCAATCCTCAATTGCAACGATTAATTCCCTTTATACTTAGATAAGATTTAGTTTTAGTTTTTAGTTTTAAGGTATCAAATTCTAACTGACATGCAGGTTTAAAAAACCTGTTTAAAATACTGAATTGCCAAGACAGGAACAATGTAAAAACACTTAGCTTATCATAACAATTAAGGCTGGTAAGTTACTGTAGTAACTGGAGCACCTAGGTTAAAATGAAATGTAATTTATTTTGAATTTGGAACAATTAAAGAGTTTAAAAAAAATGATTGATAGCAGCTTGCTTTTCGCAGCAACGTCCTGGGCGTCCAAAATTGAGGTGAAACATCATGCCAGTGAAACCTCATCACGATCAACCTCTATTGGCGACACAAGAAATGGACAATTTTGACAATACATAAATTCAACAATCGACTATATTTTCAATAGTGACCAAAAATATCCATTACTACCGTCCCAATGACACGTTCAACTAGATAAAATTGATAAATAGCATATTTTTAGCGATGGGCCTAATCTTAGATCCATAGGCCAACATTAGAGCCATTTCCTCAATACGGGAAAATCGCATTATTTAATTATAATTGATCTTTTTACGATCATGTTTAAGTATAAAGATCCACAAATTGTGGCATATTTTGCTGAAAATATCGCGAAACAGACTGTGTGGTTTTTAACCATATGGCTAAGAAAACGACCCACATGGAGAACCAATATTTGGTAGTCAATTTTAAGCTACCAATTGAATAATTAAGAGCTGAAACCTTGTCTTTTATCTCAATATTTGGTGCTTTACTAATATTCATTCGTCCAGAGCTAAATTCATCCTTGTTATCTTATTATTGGCTACTATTCCCATTAGGACCAACACTGGCTCACTTACCCTACAGGAGAACTCATTTTTAAGTACCTACCTACTTTCTATTTTAAGTTGCTCCGTTTTTCCGCGTAGCGAATAGGAATGTGATACACTGGACAAATTGCAATACCTAGCAGTTGGTGCATCTAGTATAATGACATCTGATTTATTAGATCTACCAGTACATCTTTAACAGTTCCAGGGGACAATGATCGTTCAGGTGATTGTGTGGTTTCTGCTGCTGCCTTTTCTGTAGCATCCCGCAAAATTTCAGAGAGAACCGTGCGGACAATTTCCGTTTGTTTGGGTAAAACGAAAGAACATCTGCTTGTGTCTTTCGGGACACCTTCTAATAGTTTAGCCAACTCTTCCAGATAAATGCGCATCGTGGTACAAAGAACTTCCATATCAATCGGTAGTCTCGAGAGCGATGACTTTGGATTTAAGACGATTGAATATTTGGAATTGTCCCATGAGTGACGCAGCAAGTGCCCAGAACATAGGTACAAACTGGTACTGACCTCCGGTCCATTGGTGTCTGAATAGTATATTTTCCGAATGACTTGCCTGGTGTCATGTATTTTACCGTTGATTGTGCATGGATCAGCTTGCTTAATTTGGCACATGGAATGCCCGATGCGTCCTTCGATGTCGATTGTTCGTGTATGAATATCTCCGATATATCCTGTAAGCACTAAATAACGCATGAAGAGAATATTTAAACCATCCGGGACGAGGAGACCATCTTCGCCGACATTGAGAGTGCCTTGGAAGCTTTCGTTCTTGTCTGCAACCGATTCCTGACGGAAAGCTGTCACGCTTTGATCTTCTTCGAAATATAATTGTAATTGCTTTTCCTGTATTTGTGAATGTCAGTAGGAGTTATAAATTAGTGTCGAGTTGAAGTGTAGTTGATTATTTGCACGTAGACAAATCGTCCAGTTCTTATCAACTTATGTTATACTGTACCTGTTTTAAATCTCCCGCCAGAACCGTCTCACACTTTCTCTCCTGAAATGGGTTAAATTGTTTATCGGTCAAGGCCAGCAGTTCGCATCGAGCTGTCCGATCCTCACCCATAGTGAATTGAGAGCTGCAAAAAACTGCAACAACTTCGTCAGCAATAGTTTCCACTTGGATGGCCAGTCCACCGACGATTTCATCGTTGTCAGCGCTTATCAAGAGCATCTCGTTAAAACACAACCTATCGATGACCTCTGGAGATAACCCTTGGTTCAGCAGGTCCACTAACTTCGTATACGACGGAATATTGGGAATGTCCGACGATTCACTAAATGCCACCGAAACGCACTCGTCCTGTTCTGGATTTTTCATGAAAAACTCCTCCGGAACAGGAAACAAACATTGTTCGATTTCCAGAACTTTATCGCTTAGCATTTTCGATGCTTGATTCGTGGAACTCGATTTGGACATTTTGATTTTGGAGCTGTCTATCGTTTCTCAGAGCGGAATTTTTACGTCCAATCTACTTCGATGCGCAGTTGCGAGTGAAACGAACAAGCTGCTGTCACATATACCTAACCAGTTGATGGGTTGCTTGAGGCGTACAGGATGTGGCGGAAAGCGTGGTGAGAGGAAGTGGCTGTTGATTTATATTTGGAACACTTTCCTAGCTAATATGGTAGTTGAACACAACATTTGAATTCCAAATATTATCATTCTTCTATGGAAATGGGTGGAGGATAATAATCTATAATTTCCAGCAGTTTCCTTTCAGGCAAGAAGTTAATGTTTTCTTTACTTCAAACCTCTCAAAACTAAGAGAAGCAAATTTTGTTTCAATTTGGCTTGATCGAGAGCAGAAAATTGTAGAAAGACGTGCCGTGGTTTTTGATATTCTTATCTGAGCTCGCTTGGTTGGCTGGCCCTAACATCAGGAAGATGCCGGCTTGCATCAACCGACGCGAATGTGTTGCATAAAGAGAATCTAGACAAAACAAAGTATGAAACTATGAATATCTTCCGCTGCTAGACCGGTATTCAACAAACATATCGAATTCAGAGTCGATGTTATAATAAGGGGCCATGCATTAATTATATCACGCTAAATTTAGGACAAATGTACCCCCTGTACTCTTTTAGTCACGTGTGAGAGTCCCGTAAAGAGTGAGGCCAGAAGCACCAATTGAACTGTCAAGCGGGGTACCATACAAGTAAAGTAAATAAACATTATTGTTCCCAGAGCAGGCAAGTAATGCATTCATCGCAGAACATATTTTAATAATTTTAATAAAAAAAAAACATTATTTCGCTTCATTTAGTGCATTTTGGTATTGATAAGTTATAACAAGCACTCGTTTGACATTGTTTCAGGTCCTATAGTTGTTTTTTATCTCCCAGAAACTTTGTTACTGACATGACTTTTTGCACTTCTGAATCAAAGTTATCCGATGCTAACGCAAACAGTGCTACTTCGTCAAGTCTTGTTCGTTACATTTTTTTCTTTGCGACATCCTTATTATAACATCGACTCTGATCGAATCTACAATAATTGAATTATTCTTGCTTGAAGCGTCGTTGGTTGTTGTTTTGCGGTCTGCTGTGACATCATCATTACCATCAAGAATAATGAAGCGCAATTTAGATTTCGGAAAACTACTAGTCAATGTCGTAGAACCCCGTTAGTTTGAATAGCTAAAATTGAAATTAAACTGCGCTCATTTAGAATTTGATCACCTGGTACGCCTACACAGATACCCATACCATTAACGAACGATAATCCAAATTATAGAACTATTCCACAAATGGTATGGATGATCCCTCGAACCGTTAAGCCAAATAACCTTAAACATGTTATTAGGATATGCACCTAAGTAGGTACCAGTTATACAAATTCTGAATTTTCGCCTTTCAATTGTTTAATTTTAGCTATTCAAACTAACGTGGTTCTACGGTATGTTGTTATTTTTTTATGCGTTTCGGAAGCTGTGCGTAAATATTTTGCTTGCTTCCATTTTTATGTATGGTCAACAACATACGCGTAACTAGAATGTTGGGCTAGGAGAGGGGTGCATGGCCCTAGTTGACAAGACATAAACCATCGGAAGTATAGCAGGAGGGATTACTTATTCTATTACTTTACTCATTTTCTAGTAAAAGTTTTACAAACTTTTATTCGATACCATTTTTAAGGGGAATATTTCTATCGGTATGTTAGTTTTATTTCTGAATCCAGAGAAAATTACATTACTGTTTGACGCAAAACCATTTATTCTACGATGGTTCGTTAACACGCGGATGAGATCAACCCAAATTTGAGTATAGCTTAATCATAAATCACATAAAGTTCAGAGTGCAGCGATGAGTAAATTTGGCTCATATTATTCCATGTTTTTCCAGGTTTGTCCAGCAAAAAAAACCCGAATAAGATAAAAGTAAAGGTTGGATTCACTCAGTCTATTGGTACTACTTTCCGGCAGGTTTTTTTAGGGTTCCATGATTATGAGTAAATTAAACTCAAATTTGGGTCCTTCTCATTCGTTGTGTATGAGTAATAAATTTTAAAAATGTGGGATGTTGGAAAATTCGAATGAAACTTAACGTGAAATTAGACATCTCTTTTTATTTCTCAGCTTTTGGTTTTACCACAAACGGATTATGATTGATTTCGGAAAATGATGCAAGATGTGAATGAATTCCGCTTTAATACAATTTCGATTTATTTTTGAACCCCCACTGGTTGGGACATAACCCAATTAAAATGCTACTGGATGTCAAAATCTCATATGAGTTTCATTTAAAATTATCGAAAAACGCAAAATAAAAAATTGTGCCCATCATATGTTTTGCTCTTTCCACTCAGCTTCAAGAAACTAACTTCAATCTGCTGGGATTAAATCTGCTTTTAGTTAAATCTTCTCAACCACAACTCCTCGAGCAGGAGAAAATAACTAATGAATGCATAATTCTGACCTGATACCAAAATTGCGTATTGACCATGAGACATGAGAGGTAAAATACCAAAAAATTACATGCAACATACTTTGTAAATAACAAAAAATTATATTTGGATACCAAAAGAATACCTGTGTGGTATTGTTTTGGTATTGCATTATCATAATTTATTCCGAGCAAGAATGAATTTCTCGAATCCTTAAATTGGTATGGCCTGACATAAGAGGTAAAATACCAAAAAATAATACAAAAAAAAAGTTCCCACAATACCATTCCAATACCAAATTTTGCTAATGCAATTCTAAAAGAATACCACACAGGTATTCTTTTGGTATCCAAATATCTATTTTTGTTATTTTCAAAGTATTTTGCATGCAATTTTTTGGTATTTTACCTCTTATGTCAGGCAGATCAACACCAAATGTTGGTATCAGGTCAAAATTAGGTATTCATTAGTTATTTTCTCCTGCTCAGGAAAGGATGCACACAACCTGAAGGTTGTGTTTGAACCAGTGCTTCTAAATCTCGACCTTACTCGACGATATTGACAAAACAGCTTTGGTCGCTCATTAGAACTAAAAGTCATATTCAAGAGAAAAACCATGTCAATTTTCAGTAACAATCCTGTCAATGACGAACATGTGCAGCTTAATTTGTAACGAAATTAAATGAATTATGCGAAACAACTCCATGGAGCCGTTTAAACGAACTAGTATCTACGTCCTTAACTGCCACGAAATTACAAGGTGTATCTCTGTCATTGAGGAAAAAATGTGTGATATTTTCGAATCGAACTCGTTAGTTGGGCCATGGTGGTGACATACATACATACATTTATTTGTACAACATCACATTTAAGATAAGACATAATCAACAATAGTACGCCATAATACTCGGTTTGCGGCTGCCGCTCTCCATCCTCGGTCATGCCCAATGCTCGCTAGATCACGCTCTACCAGGTCCGCCCATCGTGCTCTCTGCGCTCCACGCCTTCTAGTGCCAACCGGATCAGTAGCGAACACCAACTTTGCAGGGTTGTTGTGCGGCATTCTTGCAACATGCCCTGCCTACCGCATCCTTCCGGCTTTGGCCACCTTCTGGATGCTGGGTTCGCCGTAGAGTGCAGCGAACTCGTGGTTCATTCTTCGCCGCCACTCACCGTTCTCCTGCACACCGCCGAAGGTCGTCCTTAGCACACCTCGCTCGAAAACTCCGAGTGCTTGCAGGCCCTCCTCGAGCATAGTCCATGTCTAGTGTCCATTTAGAACCACCGGTATTATTAGCGTTCTGAACATGGTAAATTTGGTGCGGGGGTGAATCTATTTTGACCGTAGTTTCTTCTGGAGCCCGTAGTAGGCACGACTTCCACTGATGATGTGCCTTCGTATTTTACGACTCACATTGTTGTCAGCCGTCAGTAAGGATCCAAGGTAAACGAATTCCTCCACTACCTCAAAAGTATCCCCGTCTATCGTGGCATTACTTCCTCACCACCACCACTAGTCCGACCTTTGCTGCTTCGTGTTTCAGGCGGGTGTATAGTTCTGCCACCGTTCCAAATGTTCTTGCGATAATGTTGATGTCGTCCACAAAGCACACAAATTGACCAGATTTCGTGAAAATCGTACCCCGGCTGTTGAGCCCGGCTCGTCGCATTACACCTTCTAGACCGATGTTGAAGAGTAGGCATGAGAGTCCGTCACCTTGTCGCAGTCCCCGGCGAGATTCGAATGAACTGGATAGTTCACTGGAAACCCTTATGCAGTTTTGCACACCGTCCATCGTTGCTTTGATCAGTCTGATCAGCTTCCCAGGAAAGCCGTACTCTTCCATGATTTTCCATAGCTCTGTGCGGTCGATACTGTCGTATGCCGCCTTAAAGTCGATGAACAAATGATGCGTTGGGACCTGGTATTTACGGCATTTCTGGAGGATTTGCCGTACGGTGAAGATCTGGTCCGTTGTCGATCGACCGTCGATGAAGCTGGCTTGATAACTTCACGCAGAAAAAACTATCGTCGTAACAAAAATATTTGAGGTAAATTTAAACGTAAACTCAGTTTGTTCTGGCCACAAACATAAATTAGGTTGATTTCAAACGTATTCCATGTTTGAAGTTATGTGAAATCAATGTTTAAAATAAAAATAATTTTACGTTTATTTCAAAAATATTCGTGTTGAAAATGAACGTATTTATTTTTGTTTGGTTTGACAGCTATGCGAACAATAATAAATATGTTTATTTTAAACATGCTTCTCATGTTTAAAATAAACATACATATTTTGGAATTATTTTAGTAGTTGAGTGCAGGGTAAACCAAAATAAAACGGTTTGCAAAGAAATGAAAAAAAAGATCTGCGGGCAGGGCATATTAATTCCTGCTCTTTTTCGGGTGCGATTAAGGGTGACCTGTGGGTATTGGGGTCCTAGACCGGGATGCGAGGACTCGTCGGGGTGGGTGTCCGGGGGTTCCAGTTCAGTGGAACCGGTGCAAATGTGTGTTATTAGCGTCGTTTTGCCGTTTCTGCCACTCGTCCTCATACCGGTTTCTTTCCATGTTCGGTATCGAAGGAGGATCCGGAATGGATTCGGAATGGATGGTC